TAGGGAGTGCTTAAAAAGTGCAACCTCTAAAATATTACACCTTCCCTGTTAAATATTTTCACCATACTTCAAGAAAGGGAGTGGACTATACTATTATGGATCCCTGCATTCTGCATACACCCCTCAGGTATCAATATATTTCACATCACAGATTTGTCATTGTTAGATTATAGTAAAAATGCAGCTGACAACTTAGAAAATTTTATGTTAGATGTCAGAGCCCAATAATTAAGACAGGGTATCGTTCTGGAAACAAGTTTAAAACCCGGGTTTCATGAATGGGGTTAGGCAGTTTTGTGGATATCAATTTTTTTGTTATGAAATATTATTATATTCAGTTAGTGATTATTCTCAATTTTTTTCAAATCTTTTAATTTAAAATCTACACAAATGTTAAGACCCCAAAAAGGAAACTCGGGAGTTTTGTTCAACGATACTCTTTTAAATTTCAGGCTCAGTATTATGCCAGTGAGTGCATAGAGAATAGTTCCTCTGCCATTTTATTTAGCAGATTGTAGGAGTCAGATAGTTCAGACACAAGAACTTCGTTCCTTTGGAAACCAGATTCAAGACTGGTTCTTTCTAAACAAAATACAAGAATTTATCATTTAAATTACTAGAGGTATTTAAAAAGTTGATTTTTTTGCATAAAACATGCTAATAACACACTGGAAAATGGATACACTATACCTGTTAGTTACACAAGACAACCTGGTGAGGGGGGGGGGAGGCAAGCCACACCAGTATAGCCTCCATCCCCAATTTTTCTCACAAACATAGAGTTGCGGCAAGGTGCAAACCCGTAGTGCTTCCCAGCCGCACCCCTATGTCTTTACTTTTAAATGCTTATTACAGAGAAATGCAACTCAATGTTTGTGAGTAAATTGTAGGATGGAGTCTATATGGGTGTGGATTGCCTTCCCCCACACCTGGAGAAGTAGATGCTTGCATTGGTTTCGGGACCAAAGTAACTGAATTTGAGTTAGGATGTTGAACTGCCTATCACTGGTTTAAATCTTGAATTACTGAGTCAAAGTTAATGATTCGTAATGATTTGTATCAGTGATTCAGTATTTAAACTGGTGATAGTAAGTTGAGCGACCTCTTCAATTCATTAAATTAAATTAAATTAAATTAGATGCAGTCCCGGATGGTGCCCAACAAACAAAAGACAGGTTTTTAACGAGATTATCATGATGGAAAACTGGTTGATAATTCACGTGATTAATTCACGGCCCCTCCTTGTGTTATACTCGTGGTATTACTATCGTGTTAAACTTGAGTAATGCAATGCCAGAATTTTTGGATTTTAATTCTTGTAATTATCACGTGTAATATTTTTGAGATAATTCTTTAGTTTAATTCTTGTCGATTTTTCACATGTTGTGCTCGTAGCAAAGATACCAGTGCAAGCTCTTGCCTATTTCCAACATGTTAATCATGAGTAATGTATAAATGCCAGAATATCTAGATTTTAATTCTTGTAACTATCACGCATAAAATATTTGAGATATCACGGGAAGAACTTCATGTTTCATTTTTAATAGAGTTACAAAATCACAACATTTGGTGTCTCTGCTCATCTTTTAGAAACTAAAAGTTTATTGTAGTAAAATGAAATATTTTAACTTACTTAAAGTTTTCTGATTATAACAAGCATGAGCAGAGTATAGAAAAGTTTCAAGTTGAACTTTGTATTGTATTTCTCAACAACCCCTTTTTGGAATAGCGATCTTTTAGATATATAAAAGGAAGGAGCATTCTTATAATTATGAACACATTAACATAATTGAACATTGTTGAGACTTGAAATATCACTTTGTGATAAGAATAGTTTAAAGTTTACATGTTCAAGATGTTTAATGTAAAAGATTTAAACTGAAATGTTCAGTTTCTAAACCTTTTGTAATAATTATATACTGTTACACAGTATAATTTATAATATATTTATATATCAGAAATCAATTATATATCCCCCCCTCTTTCCTGGGTTTTAAAAAAAATGTAATTTAAGTAGATGAGAGAAAAATATTTTTTTTTCATGTAAAATCCCATGTTCATCTCGTGAAATAAACTCCAGTTTTCACCGTGTAAAAACTCGGTCCTAGACCCTTGATCAAATTGTCGACATTCACCCCAACAACACGTGAATTATCTCGGGATATTGACGGGGCACTCATGTAAATACGCCAAATAATCTCGTGTTCTTCATGGGTTTTTGTTTGTTCTGTGATGGCTACATATCCCGGTATTCACATTCACAAATTCCAATGAATCTACAACTAGAAATTACTTTGATTGGCTGTCTGCCCGTCTGAATCAAAAGAACGTGAAAACGACTGAACTGATCGAGCCCAAACTTTTTGAGGCAGCTCACACGACCCCAGGGAAGGTTTATGGATGGAAAAATATCGATCTAATGAATCTGTTCATTGTATTTATTCTACACATTTTAATTATATCATGTATACTGCAAGTTGAAAACTTGTTTATAGGACTATGCAGTACACAAAGATAGTTGGACACACATAGTAAATACACAAATAGTATCGGGCATCAAGAAAATAAAGCATATGAAGAAAATTTGATCATTTGCTAATATAATAGAAAACAAACATGGTGTACGATTATTCAAAAGAAATGCATCTTTAATTTTCTTTCTGTTTGTTATTCAATAATTTAGTTTCTTCACATCATCACTCATACCAAGGTCATAAGGCAAAGAAAGTTAATTGCTGTTGCGTATTCGCTGCGTTCACATTAAATCCAGTTCTCTCTGGGCTGTGTTTGTAAACAAGATCAGATGCATCAGTGACTGTTTATCTAGTATCCGAGGAGGATAAAACCATTTAATTTTGATAATTCAAATAATAGTTTCCGATGCAGAATATTTCATTGATTTTTTTATGTAAAAGATGGATCCCATGTCAGGCTGTGGCATCCGTCTTGAGTCTACTTTACAGCCCAGAGACAGTACACTGCAGTACAAAAAATGCGTACACCTCTGAAATAACTAATAACTATCTTTACATTATAATTCTTTGATATATACAACAAACATTTTCATTTTGAATTTTAAGACACCCTGTATTAAACCAGATCAAGACTGAAACCAGACCTTAGACTTTCTTAGACTCCAAAATATCTATCTATCCCTTTCTTCAGTCTCTAGAAAAGACTTCACACAAAAAAAGTGGTCAAGTATAATAATAATATAAGGTTTTCAAAACATTTGTCTGTTAACATACCTGTGAGTAAAGGGTAGGGTAGATGAGGCATATACCGGGGATCTAAAGGTTGACCAAGATCAGGAACATTAACTTGAGTAATCTGTTCCCACTGCTCTTCACCACTCAGCAATAAGATCTAAATTATTTAAAGAAAGAAAAAAAAATTCTAAATGTAAAAGCCAAATATCTTTTATTGGAGACCAAAATACCGGACAAGGAGAGTGGAGACATAATGATGGAGATTTGGAAAGGTTATCAGAGTTGTGGAGACAGTTTCCCAGGAAAAGAAAAAAGTCCCCAGATCTAATCCTAAGTAGGTTGCATTGGCACTTGGCTACATGCATAGTTGTTGTTCTGCTTGCAGGTGGGTACACAAATCCGTATACGCGTAGCATTGAGCAAAACGCTCTGGGAAAGTCTTCAAACCTGCCAAAATGCTAGACTAAGAACTGCACTGGGATGTGTCAAAATGACATCTGAAAAGTGTAAACCACCTCCATGCCGAGGCAAAGATCATGCTGGTAAAATATCATTGCAGTTTGATCACAGAATAATTTCTCCTAGCAACATAAAAACCTAAACATCCAAACCAAAAAAACATCTTCGTCCCTAGACCTTCAAGAGTAATTAAAAATACAATCAAGGAATCCTACTAAGCAAACATTCAACACCAATTTCAAGAAAAATGGTTTTAGTGATGCAAAATTAAAAGCAGGCCTAAAAACTATTCATTCAAAGTTTGTTGCTGAAACTACAAATCAGAAAAATCCTTACCACCAGTAATCCTATCCCAACTTAGTTCAAACTACAGAACATACTTAAACTCATATATGTCAAGAAAAGATGAAACAATTCAATTAAAAGCCCAGATTGCAAAGAAAGCCCAAACGATACCTAAGACTTCTTTAATTGTACAGAATAACCGACAATTTTAATTACATTAAGAATTTGGACGCAATCAAGAGAAGCTGCCCTTAATCTTGGTTTAGAAATGGAAGAAATAACATAAGAAGCAGAATTGACCTGACCTTATCTTGACATCAACAACAACGGTTTCGAGGGGCTCATGGCGGGGCTGCACCACCCCCTCGAAGAGATTGTCTAGTTTTTAATTATTAATCAATTAACGTGCACTGGTAAAAATAAAATGAGACATTTGATTATCCTACCTTAGTCTTGTAAGTCAATGCGTCCACAGAATTTTCTCCGTAAATATGGAACAAAATCTTCTTTTTTCCCTGAAAAATATATATTTTTATTTATCAGACGCTGCTAATGTTATTTATTTACTTCTTTTTATTTCTCAAGCTCAGAAAATACGACCTTTGCTCTGTACGTTAGTTTCTCTTTATGCCATTTTCTCTTAGAAATGTTGTTCGTTAGAGAAGTCTTTTATGGCAGGTATGGCTAAAGAGCGACCGAGCACTAAAGCTAGAAAAGCTATGAGGCATCACTGTGGCTAGGATTGATGAAAAATTGTTAAGTCATAAAAAATCAGGTATTGGACAAAAGGCAAAAAATTGAAAAATTCCCCGATTATAAAATTACAATATAAGAGATTATCAATAGAATTTCACAGCCATTTCTGGGTTCAAATTATAACCACAGTCCCTTAGGCAAATATTAGAAGACTGGACGACTGGACGACTGGACGACTGGACGACTGGAAGACTGGAAGACTGGAAGACTGGAAGACTGGACGACTGGACGACTGGACGACTGGACGACTGGAAGACTGGAAGACTGGAAGACTGGAAGACTGGACTACTGGACTACTGGACTACTGGACTACTGGTCTACACTACTGGACTACTGGACTACTGGACTACTGGACAACTAGATTTTAACCCAGAACTTGGGAGAAATTTCTCAAATGTTGTCTTCTTGACCTACTAATTATATTTAGTAGGTTAATTGAATAATTACATATATAGAGCTTTTCAAATCTGGTCCGCATATTTCATGGCTATTTATTTATTGTTACAATTACTGAGATTTAGGTAGAATGAGTAGAATAAAACCCATTGCAAAATTATCAAGACGACATTTTATAAATTATTTCGATGTCTAGAATTCTCGAATACTCACCCCGTCTAGAAGATGCATCTGATGAGTAAACCGAATATCCTGCAGTAAAAAAATATTTTTCAAAAAAGTGAAAAAAATTTGCCAATATCCTCAAAATCTACTTCTGCATTAATACATATCCATGTATGTGCATTTTTTAATTCAATTAGAAAATATATATTTTCAGGTTCAACTAGAAAATGCTAGTTTGTGCGCGAAATGTTCTCTGGGGTAGGCCAAATACTTCTAAAAAACCGGAAACATGCAAGCACATAGAAGTTATAAAATATTAATGCCCACTGCCCATGGATACATTAAAATTACATCTCAGTTGATCTTGGCCGTGTTTCTTGAACAAAAAATGTTTGGAAAAAAAAATATAATTTTCTATCGACTTAATAAGTTTCCTGAATTATATTTACATTTTTAACGTTTCCTAACTTCCCCCCAATGAATGTGATACAAAAACTAACAAAAAAATATGATTTAATTTTTTCCAATCAAAAAATAATTACTCTTAGACCTTAAGTGAAGGAGAATCAACACCAGGACTAAACTTTACAACTCCGATAGGTGCCAAGCCTAATGAAATAGAATTAATGATATTATTAATAACAATAAGAATAACAGCATATTAACACAGCTCAAGCAAAAACAAAACATAGCACCAAGCCAAATGAAAAAAATTAACTTTGATTATAATGACAGGCAGTCTTTTAGTTATAGTAAATGTATTTATAGTAACAAGGATAATAATGATAATATTGATGCTTACCATAAAAACATTTTTAAAAAGACCATAAAGACGAAAATGAAAACAATAACTGAAGTAACAAAAATAAATAAAAGAACAGTAATGACAACAAGAGCAATAAATACAACAATATAAACAACAGAAATACCTTGCAATATAAATTCATCTGTTATCTGTTCTCTGACAAGCTGAACAAGCCCAGCATTATCTACACAATAATATCTTTGAATTTAAATATATGTCTTCAACTATAAATATATATACAAATCTGAATAAATATAAATAAATTATGAATAAAATGTTATATAAGAAGATTGTTGCTATTTAACTGATATGTACAAATATTTTTATATATGAGCAAAGAGCTTTTTTATGTAGCTTTATAATACAAGAATAAAAAAGAAATATAAAAAATGAAAAGTAACTCCGATTTAAGCTTTACACTATCAACCTTTATCAGTTAGCGATTGGAGACACCATTGGAGATCTTCTTATCAGTTTTGAAAATAATGTGCAATTTTAATACTTCGAATGTGATGTGTGTTGCATGGACAGAACACAATAATGCTGATTTCGGAGTTTAGAATGAAAGGAAAACCTTGCAACCGGAAAGGTTTTTACAAGCCAGTTTATTACGAAATAGTTAGTCAAGAGTATAGACACAGATCTGAGTTAAAGAAGAAAGCTAGCACTTTAAAAGTTTTGGAAAACAAAATTGCCGGCAAGGACAGTGAACAAAAGAAGAAAAGAAAAATAAGATGACAAGAATAGAATATTTCTGTGTGATTTAAAAATGAATAATAATTATTGAATTTAAAATTCAAAAAAATATGTAAAAAAGTACTACCTAGATTGTAAGCGACAAATACATTGCGGTCATCTTCTACTACCAGGCATCCAGTTATACTAAAAAAATAATTTTAATTTTTTTTTTATTTACACATCATGGTTGGTAGTATTGTTGTTACTTTTTAAGTATCACAAATTCAACCCTGCTCGCATGTTTAAGATTTTTTTAGTATTAAAGGAACTGTAAGCGTAATTTCAAATGATCCTCAATGCAAAGAGGGCAATGTCTGATTCACTAAGGTACCCTTAAAATCTTTGTCTAATATAGTTTGAATTAAATGTTTTTGTTTCAAACTGTTTATTTCCAATTAAAATTTCTCTTCACTGCTTGTAAGTAACAGTGGGTGAATTCATCAGAATTTAACACTGTGCTAGCTAGAAAATGTCAATATTTTTCACATTTTCATATTAAATAAGGGGGGCGCTATGAAACGTATTACTCTCCGTAAATTTTAAACAGTGTTTAAACATAACTTGGAATTGTCAGAGGAGGCTGATTTTTTGCATGCATACTCAGAATTATGTATATTACATGCATTTTTTGGGTTTGAAGGAATGTGAGCAAAAGTGCGATCACGCTTTAAGTGAACAAAGAATCGTTGTTTCTAGTACCCCAGAATCGACATACTACATGCAAAACATATGACAAGATGACCCAAAAGGTGACTGCTGGCTGCTTGTGGCCAATTACCTATAAATTGACATACAACATGTAAAATATGTGGGAAGATGACCCAAAATGGAACTGCTGGTTACTAGAGCGGGTGTCAGAATGCTCCAATATTAAATTTGACCTCGGAAATGAATTTCTCATGCCCAATAACCTATCAATCGACATACAACATGTAAATATGTGGGAAGATGACCCATAATGTAACTGCTGGCTACTAGCGCACCATTTAGAATGCTCGAATATTTACTTTGAACTCAGAAATGAATTCCTCATGCCAAGTTACCTATCAATTGACATACAACATGTAAAAAATGTACTAAGATGACCCATAATGTAATGGTTGTCTACTAGCGCGCTGGTCAGAATGCTCAAATATTAAATTTGACCTCCGAAATGAATTTCTTGTGCCCAATAACCGATAAATCAACATATAACATGTAAATATGTGGGAAGATGACCCATAATGTAACTGCCAGGCTACTAGCGCGCCAGTCAGAATGCTCGAATATTTTTTGACCTCAGAAATGAATTCCTCGTGCCAAATTACCTATAAATCGACATATAACATGTAAAAAATGTACTAAGCTGACCCATAATGTAATGGTTGTCTACTAGCGCGCTGGTCAGAATGTTCCAATATTAAATTTGACCTCGGAAATGAATTTCTTGTGCCCAATAACCAATAAATCAACATATAACATGTAAATATGTGGGAAGATGACCCATAATGTAACTGCCAGGCTACTAGCGCGCTGGTCAGAATGCTCGAATATTTTTTTGACCTCAGAAATGAATTCCTCGTGCCAAATTACCTATAAATATATAATGTAAAAAATGTACTAAGCTGACCCAATATGTAATGGTTGGCTACTAGTGCGCCGGTCAGAATGCTCCAATGTCTATTTTGACCTCGGAAATTAATTCCTTGTCCCAATTTTGCTATAGTTTGATGTGTCTCATGCAACTGTTATTCTAACTTAGGCCAAACTTAGCACACAAGTATTCAAAGATATTTTCTGTTATAGCGCGCACGCGCGGATATTTAAGCCTTTGGAGGTGAATTTTTTTAGCGCATATTTTTTTCAAGAGTGTCAGGAAAAATTTTTAAGTGCAATTAATGATGTTAACATTGATTTACTGTCAATTTTTCACAAAAAGCGCGCACGCGCGCACTTTTGCTCAGATTCCTTCAAAACCAAGAAATGCATGTAATATACATAATTCTGAGTTTGCATGCAAAAAATCAGCCTCCTACGACAATTCTAAGTTGTGTTTAATCACTGTTTAAAATTTCCGGAGAGTAATACGTTTCGTGTCGGCCCCCCTTTAAAATTCCCTTTCAGAATTAAGAAATAAAAATTGACTAGGAACTGTTATATATCTGATCCGTCAAATATATGGGATGAGATCAAAACAAAGAATTCAGGGGCAAATCATGATTCATGTAATGAATATAGTAATAAGCCCCATATTTGTAAACCTGAACATGCCTGCATATATATATTGCGTTGTAACTTTGTCTGTACCCTTACTATGTTCATGAATTTAACTACGTTCATTAGTTACTACGATTTAATTCAACTTCGTTCATCAATGTATCATGTACCAAAAAATCCAAAAAATAGATTAGTTGGAAATTAATTCTTTGTAGAGAGCATAAAGTCTGCTAGAGTTGTATCTGTATGATACACATTGAAGAATACATATAGCGTCATATCTGGATTGATACAGACTGAAGTATTATTGTAGAACATTGAGTTCTAGAGCGAGTTGTATCTGAACGATGCATAGTGAGAATACAGAGTGTGTTGTATCTGAATGATAGATACTGACGAATACAGAGGTTGTATCTCGATTAATAGATACTTGAGAATACAGAAAATTATACCTGGATTGGTACAGAATTCAAAGAAACTTGTTGGAGTAAGGCATTTGGTACATTCTTATGTGTGTGAGTGTGGGGAGTATATGAAGATCTGCGGCTTAAAATAGTGAAAAAGGAGAGTGTTCAGTTGAACTAGTTACTAAGATTTATTCATTTCTTTGATTATTACTATATTACTGTCACAACATAAGTTGAAGAAAAATACTGGCGTTACTTAAAGCCTTGGTCCTACCATGGTTATATTGCAAGGAACGTTATTTCTGAGGTGTAGGCATCTTTTGTACTGCAGTGTACTGTCTCTGGGCGGTAATGTAATTAAACACAAGACGGATGTCGAAGCCTGACATGGGATCCATCTTTCACATAAAAAATCAAAGAAATATTCTGGTCATAGGAAACTATTATGTGAATTATCAAAATTATCTAAATTAAATGTTTTTATCTTCCTCGGATACTAAACGGACACTGGGGCATCTATCCTTGTTTACAAATTCCGCCAAAGAGAACTGGTTTCAATATGTACGCAGAGTATACGCAACTGCAATTAACTTTCCTTGCATTACAACCTTGGGTCCTACACTTTTACAAGTTGTTGGAGCACTGGGTTTGTTTATATTGCTCGCAGACAGTTCAGTACACAATCTACATACATTTGAGTCGGGGGCTACCAAGTACACAATTTACATACATTTGAGTTGGGGGCTACCCGTGTATTTTCATAATAAACATAAACTTGTTTAAACATCTCCCATTCACAACGTGACTCTCTAAAGCTTGGTCTGATCAAATATGAATATAAATCCATAATTATAATTTCAAATTTTTTTTCAATTATGGTTTCTCTAAAACAAATTTACCCCGCGCATTTCTGCTACAGGAAAAACATTTAAGAATAGAAAACGTCGTTATCTTAAGAATGAGGTTTCAAGGGTACCGTTGTAAATCGAGCATGCCACTCTTTCAATGTAGGCGGAGGGTCACATGAAATTAAGTTAATAGTTCCTTTATAATGTTTATTTTTGTGACTAACGCTAATACCTAATCAGAACTGATCTGCTAAGCATCTCAGCTAGTGTGTCAGAATTTGATTTAGCTGACGAGTTCTCTATTCTACCCATGAGTAATCCACGGAATCCTATCCCAATACCATCTTCATCAACAAAACGGAAAAAAATGTTTAGTTTTCAAAGAAAAGTACATATGTGTAAATTTTACACTAGTATGTTAGTAGATTGTCCCTAGAAGTTCACTTCAACATTTTTCATCAAAGTTTTAAAGCCATTGTTGCCAATTTCTCTATCTCGAACAAACTTTGTTTCAAAATTTTAAAGTCTCATGAAATTATATGATGCCATGAGATCAGTTGTTCGGGGGATATGTTTATATTAAATGTCAGTCATTACTTTGAGCCCTGGTGTTCGTAGAGGTGTGACGGGGGACTTTCTAATATTACTATGATCAGTATTTTACTATTATAGTCATTACTAGCTGAAGGGCCCGGCGTTGCCAGTGAAAAAAAAATTTTAAAATAATTTTAAAAAAAACTTTTTAAAAAAAAATTTCGAATATTTTTTGGCCTATAACATTCCCCGGCCACCCATGAGTGTCCATTATAAAAAAAATCAACCTAATCGGTCCAGCCGTTTGGTCGGCTATAGACAATATATATATACGAATGTCTTGTTTTATTATGTAGATAAATATTTATTATATGTCGATGATTCTGCCTGTTTGATGGGCGTCCATGAGGGAGTGCAAAGACGCAACAATGGACGCAGGAATTTCCACCTCAAAAGCTACCATCTTGAAATATTAGAGAAGAAACATTTTCTCTGAAAATTTACAATATTTTGAATGCGAAAATTACATTGGTGACTGATTACGTCAAAAATTACATTGATTTACATGTACAGCATAAAATGCAACACAACACGGAGCTAAAATTCTTCTTAACTTTGCGCCTCTCATCAGACTTCGGAAGAATCTACTATCTAAAAATAGAAACTATATAAAATCAGTTGACAAACTTGTTTATTTTATAAATATCAAGCTAAGAATTCTTGATTTGCTTCATTGGAAGTATTTTAAATTATGCACGCAAACACATCAAAATTCCAAATTTTTTGTTAAAACTATTTTACCTTCTTGATTTTCTTTTCCCTTCTCCGTTCTGTTTCGCGGTCGCATCATCATCCTCTTTCCTTTTCTTAACTTCAACCTCAGAAACGCCCTCGCGATCCTTAATCAATCAATCAATCAATTAAAAAAATGAATCGCAAGAATGGCTAAATCGATATTAAGCTTTCTTCACTATCTGGGTCATCTGATCAATATATCAATTCAGTTGTTAATCAACTTAATTTAGATGTCATTATATCAATTCAGTTAGTCAATAAATAATTCAGATTTTAAGAAATCAATTTAGTTGTCAATAAATAGTTGTCAATCAATCCTTCAAATGAGATATAAAAACAGTTGCTGGATCATGTAACGCCATCTTAAATCCAAAACTGTATTTAGTAGCTTGTACCCATTAAAAATATTTATTAATTGATTTAATTAAACACTTCATGACTGATATTTTGATAAAGGGACTGTCCGCGTTTTTTCAAGTAACCCTTTATATAAAGAAAACAAAGCCCGATTCGTAACGGTAACCTTAAAAGCTTTATCTGATCAAGTACAAACTAGATATTAGTGTTTAAAATTCTGAAAATTGATTATTTTTAGTAGTGATTTTCTACAAAAGTGACCTAAGCATTTCTATATGATTATACTGCTGGAAAACACACCAAGAATTATTATTTTTAAACCTAAGAAAAACGACATTATCTTCAACATTATTGATCAGATAAATCCGGGCATTGCCATCTTAGCCTAGAGGGTCACTCAAATTTACGCTGTCAGTCCCTTTAAAGATGTTTTCGTCTGCACAACACCTACCCGCTTCCTCTCCTTCCTCGTGGAATCCTTTTCATCTTTCTCCTTCCTCAGTTTCTCTTTCTCTTTCTCCTTCCTCAAATTTTCCTTCTTCTCTAACCTAGAGAGTTGGAGTTGAGATTAGAAATTTTCTATTTTTACAAGACAAACAAAACGTTTTTTTTCAGAAAAGTGCATTGAAACATGTGATAATGCTGATGATGATCTAATAATAACAAAAAAAAAACTTTATCTATACAAATTGCCCAATACCATTCTTTTTTTAAAAATAATATATAAAAAAATGTTTGGATTTACTTTCAGCTTCCAAGTTTCAAGTCAACATTCAAAATAGCTGAGAATTCAGATCTGTTTTTTTTTCAATTAATCGTCAATTAAAATTGACATTTTCCCCTCGTTCCACAAAAGTATTTAAACCCTTATAAGAAAAATAAAATTTCCTTAATAGCAAATAAAAAAGACTTATCTTAAAAGATATAAGATAAAAAATGTATTTTTTAAAGAAAGAAAATTAATTCAATTTAAATAAAAAGATTTGACCTGTCTAGAACTGGACTTTTAGCTTTCTCCTTGTTAGAGTCACGTTTCCGTTTGAAATCCCTGTCTGAATCCCCGGGATCCTTAAAATTAGTTTAATCCGTTTAATCCGTCTAAACCGTCTAGGCCGTCTCGGCCGTCTAGGCCGTCTAAGCCGTCTAAGCCGGCTTTAATCCGGCTTTAAGACGTCTAAGCCGTCCAAGTCGTCCAAGTCGTCTATGCCGTCTCGTCGGTCTAGTCGGTCTAGTCGGTCTAGTCAGTCTAGTTTAATTAGTTTAATTAGTTTAATTAGTTTAATTAGTTTAATTAGCTTAATTAGTTTAATTAGCTTAATTAGTTTAATTAGCTTAATTAGTTTAATTAGCTTAATTAGTTTAATTAGCTTAATTAGTTTACGAGGGCGGGCATGTATCTCTTGAGGATATTAAAAAATAAAATTAAGCCAATATTATATTTACCGCAGATTTCCTTGAATCTCTAGAAGCAGGAGGACCCATTTCGGTTCTCTCTTTGCTCTCGCTTCCTCTCTCCCTACTCTTGCTCTCACGATCCCTGCTATTGCTCTCACGATCCTTGCTCTTGCTCTCACGATCCCTGCTCTTGCTCTCGCGATCTCTGCTCTTGCTTCCCCGCTCCCGGCTTTCCGACTTCTTCTCCTTTTCTTTTTCCTTCTCCTTCTCTTTCACTTCCTTTTCTTCTTCTGCATCAGCCTTTCCCTTCCTCATCTTCAAAAAAAATAATATTAAATTAAAACGCTCATAACGTAGTCATTTTAATGGGACTGTAAACCTAATTTAAAGTGACTCTCTTTTGATAGAATGGCATGTCCAAATCACAAAGGCACCCTAAAAAGCATTATTTGATCAAGAATAAATGAGATTTCCATGTTTTTATTGTTGAAAATTAATCATTTTTAATTGGAGTTTTAAATTGAAGTGATTTCTCTTACGTTTGCGGGGATTCTACAAATAAAAACTATAAGCTAGATAAACGACAATTTCTTGCCAAGTTTTTTTCTGAAGAAAGGTTATAAATCAGACATGTTTATTATAAAAAAATATTAACAACAAGTTTGAAGGGGTTTTGAATCTTCAGTAAGGAAGAAGGATTCTTCAATTTGATTTGCTTTGAAAAATCTTGATCATTAGAACTGATATTGGAAATTGAAATTATTTTTATAATATTGTCAACATTGATTTCTTTTGATTTAACAATGGTACTGTTCTGCAATATATCATATCTAGATCTGCAGCTCAGTATTTAATCATTATCACTGGACGTTCTTAATCCTGGATCTAGGAAGAGAAGAATACGAGTCATAAAGAAAATTGTATCCCAGATTTGTGAACTCTAGTAAGTACTCTATATATTTAAAGTTGTAATCTCTGTTTGTCTGCCTGTCTGTTTGTTTGTCAGATCATAACTCAGAAACCCAATGACCAATGACCCACGTGAATGTTCTCAGCTTGGTTTTGAGATTCTAAGTTGAGTAGGGTGACTTAAATAGCGAAAAATTAGTTTCCTGGTAAATCGTTCATGTGCAAGTAAAAGGTCGGAGTAACTTTTAATAACCGGGGCAGCGCTGGTTTCCCTAGCTAGTACTCTATATATAATATAACCGCATTTATTCCTTTACATAAAATATTTAGTCCTAAAATCTTACTAATCATGAACTCACGGTAAGCCGTTTCCGTTAACTGCGGCACAGGTACTCTTTGAACCTTTAAGTAACAATGAGCTAGACATAGTCATTTTCTACCTTAAAAAGACATAACTTTTTATTTGACAGTCCCTTTAAAAAACTATATTTTCCATCTCACTTCATTGTTTGTTTGTTTTGAATAAAATAATGTGTTATTTTCTCACCTGGTGGAAGTCCCGTTCGTTCACCATCCGGCTCTTACAAATCGACAGTTTACCCTGGTAGCTTCGAGCCTAACCAATTTAAAAGTAGATCAAATAAAAAGCAGTAATATATTATAAACTTATTTAAGGGGTGTATACATTTAAGAATTATTTTGTAAAGACCTGGGGGAAAAATGAAAAATTCCCAAATTCAGCGAATAAAACCTNAATTTACAGCCTGACTTATTTAGGTTTCCTTACTAACAATAGTAATTACAATATTAACCTAAATCGTAAAGGGAGCCAATGTAAAACCCACGAACTATCGACAAATTTACAAAATTGTGTTTCTTGTCTAAATCCAAAAAAGGAATTCCAAAACTGAAATTTGAACCCTGGCCTTTTGAATGAGAACCAGCTTTCCTGACCACTAGACTATACTTTCCCATTTGGTAACCCTATATAATTTCTCAAACCAAAAGATTGTGTTTGTGAAGAAAAAAATAAAAAAATAATCAAAAACCGGAAGCGCATAACTTTCTTATTAGGAAAAAAGGGAAAAAATATATTTTTAATAAAATATGTACCTCTGTAATACTTAAAACAATATTTGATCACACAGTTCAATGTGTGCAAATAAGAAAAAACAATGTCGTCTTTATTGCCAACAATCTAGTTAACACTTTACACAAACTAGACGAGCGGGGGAAGGCAGACGCCATAAGCCACAGCATTTTCCCCTTCCATGCCACATATTAGCTTTTATGTCTTCCGGCAGCCATGAGCCACAACCGTTCGGTCTTCCATGCAAAAGCATTTGAGTCTTCCGGCAGTTATTACGATGGTAAAAAAGTGGTTGGGGCTAATGGCCGCCTGCCTACCCCCCTTACTAGACACCGTGCCCTGTATTACCTTGATATAGAGATCCTTCCTCTTTTCTTTCTCCTCATCACAAACCCTCTCAATCCTCTTCTCAAGAACAGACGCTAGGTTCTACAAAAAATATTTTTAATAACTTTTTCTACAAGGGGAAATACAGTGAAATTCCAAATAACCCAGAATAGTATAAATTGATTGATGACATTCAAGGTGGTCTTTTACCTTAGATTTAGATGCGGCACTCGTTATAGGTAACCTGATTTTAGCAATATTTTTTAATGAAAAAAATATTGCTAAATAGCCCTAATCCTGCCATTTCCAAATGTGGTCTGCCATTTTTTTTGACCCTCAAAAATACCAGAGATATTAAAAATTTTGTCTAAATTTTAATTTATTACATATAAATAAAACCATGAAGATATCTCATTCTGAACGAATCCATTACCCAACTTATTTTAAAATTTGATTTAGATTACTAACCTTTAGTAAATTTTGATTTAGATTATAAACCTTACTTAAATTTTTGATTTTGATAATTAGCCTTACTTTTAATTTTGATTTTAATTATTAACCTTATATTTGGATTTGGATTATAACCCTGTCAACCATTAACAATAACTCTCCATGTAAAGTCGTCTTTAACTTAGGGCCCCTCTCGGAGACACCAAACCAAACAATTTTAACCCCTTTTTCTTTGTTCTCCCTAACGGAGTCTAAACAAAACCTCGCGTATTGTGAATCCATTTTCAAAAGTTAAATAATTTCATATAAAGAATTAGTGACTTTCGTTAATAATCAATTGTCATCTTATTTCAGAAGTTTAAAACGTCTTTTAGTACTGTTCAACCATTGTTATCCCCTTTTATCACCCGCAAATAGATCGTAAGGATTTTTCATTATAAACATTCATTATAACATTTGTACACGTTAACAATATATGTATTTTTTTCAGGAAATAAAGAGAATTTTTTGTTATCGATTTTTGAGACGGGGGTTCATTCTGTTGCAATCGGGAAATGGGAAATATATATCCTTCAACGACTGATTCCAGCGGGCCTATTATCATTTCATCTTGAGAATCTCGTTTTCTAGCCGTCAACAAACCCTTATCTTAAATTTTGACTTTAATTATTAACCTTATCTTAAATTTTGACTTTAATTATTAACCTTATTTAAAATTTTGATTTAGTTATTTTAAATTTTGATTTTGATTATAAAGTAAAATTTATATTTTAATTGTTAATCTTATTTTTAAGTATTGATTTTGATTATTTATGTTTTTTTAAATTTTGATCTTAATTATTACCCTTCTTTAAAATTTATGATTTTGATAATTAACCTTATTTTAAATTTGGATTTTAATTATTACCATTATATAAAATTTAGATTTTTATTATTGCCTTATTTTAAATTTTGATTGTTTACAAAGGAAATCACTCGATCCGATTGAGTTCTTAGAAATGTTCTTATAAAATAATTTATCCCAATATCTGCTAACCCTACCGTAATAAGCGGATACTGGTCGATTATCTCGTTTAAGATGATTAGTGCATTCCTGATCTGTACATAGTCTTTACTCTCCAAACAGACAACTAACGCTTTAGCAATCTAAAATAAATTATCAATTTAATTTATGTCAAAAAATGTTCACATAATGTAAGCATTGACAAACTAAGGATGAGACGAATGAGACAAGGAAACAGAAACTTTAGGAGTTTATCGAAACCTATAAGAGTTCTATCTGATTTTCCTGTCTCGAGAAATTGATATAAAACTGTGTCAAAGCTATACCAAAACTTGAATATATGAGGTTAGGTATAAAAATTTAAGTTTTAAAAAACTGGGTGAAAAAATGAGAAATTAAATTTGAAAGGGAAGTTTTTTCTTTAGATTTTCCCTCTAAAAATCATTTGTTTTCACCATTTAAGCAAATAAAAAATTGAAAAAAGTACATCCTTGAAAATTTACGAACCTTGTAGTGCCACTTGTGGCAGACGTGTCTGTAGTTCTCGAAGTCTACAGTGTCTGTGTGAGATGCTTTAGGATCCTCGGGTCCAGCAGCAGCTTTGAACTTGGTGATAAACCCAGGGTAACCTTCACATAAATATTCTAAACTATCCGATTTTTAAAAAAAACATTATGAGTCAATGATAACCCCCTGGAGTCAATGATAACTCCCTGGAGTCAATGATAACTCCCTGGAGTCAATGATAACTCCCTGGAGTCAATGATAACTCCCTGGAGTCAATGATAACCCCCTGGAATCAATGATAGCCCCCTGGAGTCAATGATAACTCTCTGGAGTCAATGATAACTCTCTGGAGTCAATGATAACCCCCTGGAGTCAATAATAATCCTGGCATCAATGTTAATCCCCTAGAGTCAATATTGTCCCCTTAGAGTCGGAATGACATCATGGATTATGCATGACCCCCGGAAAAAGGGATGAATTCCAGAGTCGGAATGACACCATGTAGTCGGGATGACCACGTAAAATCAGATAGACACCCTGAAGTCAGAATGACATCCAGGAATCGTGATGACCTCCTGGAAACGGGATGAGCCACTGAAGTTCAATGTATACACTAGCACTATACCTGAACACTCTGCTTCAAAAACATCCTTGTCCTTGTGCCATCTTCTTGCAGTCTCAAGCATAGCACACAGGAACCTGCCATACCTACTAGCCTCGTTCTCTAAATAACATAATTTATCAATCAATCTATCAATCAACCCACCAATCAATCAATCAAATAAAACAGAATCAAACAAAATTAAAACCAAAAAAGTTTAATACAAAAAGAGTGACCGCTATTTGGACCAAAATATTTAAAAGTTTTTTTTTATCTATATAATAAAACAAGACATTCATATGTAGGTTGCGTACAGCCGGCCAAACGGCTGGACCGATTGGGTTAACATTTTTTGTGGACACTCATGGGTTGCCGAGGGGTGTTATAGGCTAAAAAATTCTAATTTTTTTACACGGGCAACGCCGTGCGCTTCGGCAAATATATATTAAAGCTCTTCGCTCGCGTATATATACGTTAGTTATGGCTGGCCAGAAGGCTGGACCAAATGGGCGTCATGTATTTTGATAAAATTAATTCAATACTATCCTATTAAAAAGACATTTTAAAAAGTTAACTTTTGTATTTGATAAAAAGTATTTAAAGCCACGAATCAAGTTTACCTGTACAAGCTGTAACTGTGTACGTAATGTCACAAAAGGTTCGATCAAAGCAGATTAGAGTTGAGAAATTTGGAGTTTTCAACATATGGATGATCGTCACAAACTTTGCAGCATAGCTCGCATCACTTGAAGTAAACAAAAGTTTGATTGACACATTTTTAAGGATTTGGATTTTCGTCAAAGTCTTTTCTTTTCCGGCTCAGAATTGCAAAGAAACCAACTTCAGTTATTGCTTTTTGAACAACGTCGGACGCATTTATAAAAATAATAATGCTTACAAAAATTGCAATTTCTCCTTGATCAGACAAAGGTTATAAGGGTACCGTGTTCACCCCAAATAAAGGTTCACTGAAAATTAAACAATTTTTAAAGAAAAATTCCCAATAAAACATTAATTTTTAATTTTTAATTTTTTTAAATAAAAATATTTAATACTTTACCTGGAGGTGAATATTGATCTGGGAAAGAGACAGAACTGAAGAAGTTGTGTTATCGTCTCATTCTTAGCAGTTCTAGGATTAGGATATTATCATCAATAATTGTTTTTGGAACATTTTTCGTGGATTTTTTCGTTTTTGATATTCGTGGATTTTTTGGCTTATAGGAGGCTCAAAACACTCTGCGATCTCAACCATAGAAACAGTTATTATTTATATTTCAACATGCAAAATTTTCGCTAATAAAGGTCTTAAACATTTTGAGAATCGCTCAAGTCATATCTTTTAAAAGAGGCTATATGTAAATTTGATGCCCATCACTATATGTAAAGTAATTCTTTATCATAAAATTAGGAAGTTATGATTTATCAAATAAAAAAACTAGTGCGGAGTTAAAACTTAGGTTTTGGAATATGAGATGGGGTCCTCACATTCTACAGCGACTAATGATAAAAGATGCTATAGTTTTTGTTTCTAATATAAGTTTAGGATTTTCTTCTACAAACAATCATCATAAATCTTGATAATTTGCAGGGTGGCCAAAACTTTTTTGAAAAAATCCGTACAAAAATCCGTACAATCCGTACAATTTTCGAAGAAAAAAATCCGTACAATCCGTACATTTTTTTGAAAAAAAATCCGGTTTTTTTTTTAATTCCGTACATTTTTTTAAAAATCCGTACAATCAGTACAATTTTCGAAAAAAATCCCTGCTATCCGTACATTTAAGAAAAATAAAACCATTTTTGAAAATATTATTCAATAGAGAACTAGAAAACTAAAGAGCGTTGATTCTAATTTTTAAAACTGTTTAGATCGGTGTGAATTAGGCCATTTAACAAACAAACGATTAAGTTATAATTAGAAAGAGTGGAGTGCAGATTTAGAATCTAATATAATTAAAATTAGCGTGGTACAGGGGTTGCACACTCAATTAAAAGAAAGTTAATAATTAACTAAAAATAAAAAGATTTACAGATAAACGGAAGAAACTTGAGAGGATGTTCTCAGATCTGATAAATAGACAGATAGATAGACTGATAAATAGACAGAGAAACAGAAAGACACATACACAAATAGATAAACAGATAGGATATATAAACAGATAGATAAAAAGATAGATAAACTGACATGCAGATAGATATACAGATGGATAGACAGATAGCTAGATAGATAGCTAGACAGATAGCTAGATAGAGAGCTAGACAGATAGCTAGACATATAGCTAGACAGATAGCTAGACAGATAGACAGATAGCTAGACAGATAGCTAGTCAGATAGCTAGACAGATAGCTAGACAGATAGCTAGACAGATAGACAGAAAGATAAACATATTCTCAAATGAACACTTCTGAAATATATTCTCAAATGAACACTTCTGGAACATATCTCGAAAATTATGAATGAATTTTGAATGTCAATTGAAACATTAATCAATCTAATATCATTTAGAATGCAGAAAATAAATTAAACTAACTTCATTTTGACGAGAAATTTTTTATGAAATTTTCATGAAAAATTTGCTGAAATGAGTGAAAATTCAAAAAAACGGTGTATTTCCTGGATAAAAATCCGTACAATCCGTACAATTTGAAAAAAAAATCCGTACAATCCGTACAATTTTAGGGTTACAAATAAAAAAATCCGTACAATCCGTACATTTTGGCCACCCTAAATTTGTAATAATGTAAAATAATCAAACAAAACTAAGGTGAGACACTCGGGAAATTATTAAAATTTAAAAAATTATGGTGAAAGTTTCTTCTTACTTAGCTGATCTGCTGAGGAACCATTGATCCTTCTCCAGCCTTAACCTAACCATCACCCTCTCCACGTGCTCCTTATGTCTCTTCTCTTCGTCCTACAGTGAGACCCATAAAAGTGTGGAATAGGAAGACGACTGTTATGATTCTTAATGGTTCAATAAACATGAAACACAAGCTAAATGTAGTATATTTGATAAAAACAACTTAACATTTAAAACTTTTTTGTCTCTATTTTTTTCAACAGAAGAAGGTCATAAGACGTGTTGTAGCAAAATATAAACGCCCTAAGTAAACTGCCTGAGTGCCTATGTACTGCCGAAAATAGTTTTTTTTACGTGATTTGTGGAGCCCCCAAGGGAGGTACCATTCGAATTTGGACTTTTTCTATTTTTACCAATTTTGAAAAATTTAGCAGTTCATACCAAAAAATATGCTCAACTTTTCTTTTTATGCTATAAGAAAAAAAGCCTACAGGTAAAATCTAAATTCGTACTAGTTGCAACAGTTTTAATATTTAAATTTGTTAAACCTGCAACTTCTCCATGAGAGTGTTTAACCGTTCAGCTTCTTTCTTCCTCCTGGTAGAATTGAGATCCTTGTTCTCGTGGAGTTTAGCAGGGGCATCCTGTACAAAACAGAGGTTAGGGGGATATATTCTGTTTGAAAATCATCCCCCCCCCCCAAAAAAAAAGTTAGGTATGTTTTTTCTCCCGCTGAATTGATAGGGGAAAATTATTTTTAGGTGACAATAAATCAGTTTTGGGGTAAAAATTATTAAAAAGGGTGATGG